AGGAGGTCTGTAAAAGTAAAAGCAGCTTTAGGTGAAATGAGTGGGGGGGTTGTTGTGTTTTGTTTATTTTGGGGTGTTTTGGGGGTGTTTTGGGGTGTTTTTACACCCCCATCAACACAATTTAGATCATGTAAGAGGTGCACTTCGACTCTGCCTGTCAGGCCCAGCCCATGTGGAGAGTGCAAGTAGAGGGAAACAACATCCCAGCAGACTGACCGAGATACTGGAGAAATATTCTCTCCCAACACGGGAATCGAACTCGGGTCTTCTGTGTGTGACGTCGAAGCGCCTCGCCTCTACACCACAAACACCAGTGATGAGGGTTCAGGAATATAATACTGTTTTGAATATTAGTTAAGTCTTATAAACGAATTTTCAGTTTGAATTAAAAATGGTAATAGAGATACGCTCCTACATCAACCACTGTTTGTTATTGGGGGAAAGTAAGCTGGCAAACAAACAAACAAACAAACAAACAAACAAACAAACGAGAATTATAAAACAGGCAGGGGATTTAATAGAAAGGAAGGTGATATGTAGACTACACCTTTCAACCACTTCTATACCGCGCTAAAGAAAGACAGTGAAAGGCAACAGTCAACAGTAGTATTTAACCTTCTAGATATCTACTGACAACTGGTTCATATTTCAACCTTAAAATTATTTGGAACAAATTTATTTTTGCTCTTTCTTTGCCTTGTTTCTTTTTCTTTGCTTTTCTTTTTGGGGGTGGGGGTTGGGGGCGGGGCGTGGGCTCCAAAATATGTTTTAATTGATAAATTAACCCTAGGAGATTTCATGTATATCGTCTCCATAACATGATCATTGCAGAGTCAAAATTGTTGTGCCGATACTTTTTGTAGAGGGCACTAGAGGGTTAAGTAAGTGGCAGGGCGAGACAAGGGAGACTATCGAGGGTACTATGGCAGGGGCAGCGAGTGGCACTTGCAGGTCAGGGAGAGTGGAATGACCAGGCACTCGGTCCGCCGGTCAAGTGGTCAAGTGGTGGACATGAAAGGTGCAGCAGTCCCGCCTTCCGCGAC